TGCAGGAAAATGGATGGAACTAGAAGAAAGCATTCTGAGCCAGGTAACCCAGTCACAAAAAGATAAACATGATATATACTCACTCATATGTGGATTTTAGACATAGAGTAAAGGATTACCAGCCTACAATCCATGCTGCCAGAGAAACTAGTAAACAAGGAGGACCCTAAAAGAGACAAACATTGTCCCCAGGAGAAGGGGAAAGGGTCACAATCCCCTGAGCAAATTGAGAGCATGGGAAGAGGGGGGAGGGAGCTACAAGAATGAGAAGGGAAGAAGAGGAAGGATGCAGAGGTCAGGAGGGAGCAGAAAGGTTGAGTCAGGTGAAGAATAGAAGAAAGGGTATGTGATAGGTAGGGCAGTTTCTAAATAAGTATCACACATTACCATCCACAACCTTTTTTGTCATCTACTTCAAACTACTAGACCCATTCTCAAGGCTTGCATATCAAATAACCCCCTATGAGATATTTATATCATGATTCATAACTGCAGCAAATTCATAGTCATGAAGCAGCAATGAAATAATTTCATGGTTGGGGTCACCACAACATGAGGAACTGTATTAAAAGAGGGTTACAGCATTAGGAAGGTTGAGAACCACTGTACAAAGAAAAGTAACATGAACCTAATAACATCAAAAAATTGCCCCATTTTAAAATGTTTTTAAAAGGAAGTAATGCAAAACATATAAAGGTAAAAGAGAAATGGCAAGAAAGAAAGGATGAAAGACTGTCCAAAAGTGACAACGCTAATGGACATGCAAAAGTGGATGGAAGAAAGCTCTCGATTCCTCAACCATGCACAAAGAACTATGGGAAACAGAGGGAAGCCCCAGTGGAAAAGGCGCACTTCCCCAGGGAAGAACACACCCATTGTTTGCTGGTAACAAATGATTAGAACTGAAATAGTAAATATAAGGAACTTTACATTGACTGAATTGGTGTTATTTAGGAATGTATATGTATAAACATATACATATATGCATGTAACAGCAATTAGTGAAAAAAGCAATTAATTTGAAGGAGAGTGGGAAGGGGGTATATGGAAGGGTTTAGAAGGAGCAAATGGAAAGGAGAAATGCTGTAATTATACAATAATCTCAGAAATAAAAATAAATAAATAAATAACAACATGAATACCCATCTCTAATTGAATACCGACTACAGAAAACCAAGAAGCATCAACATTAATTCTTTTGGGAATTCTTTATTTGCTTTTAAATAAAGGTTTATATATTCGTTTATTTTATGTATATGACTGATCTATCTGCATGTATGACTTCATGCCAGAAGAGGGTATCAGATTCCACTAGAGATGGTTGTGAGTCACCATGTGGTTTCTGGGAATTGAACACAGGACCTCTGGAAGAACAACCAGTGCTCTTAACCACTAAGCTATCTCTCCAGCCCTTCTTTTGGCACTTTTAAATGTATAGTTCCTAGCTGTCATGGAGTGTTACTGGGATCTTCTGTGGTATTTAAATAAATTGCTCAAAAGTGGAAACTGTAGATATATGCTGTCATTTCCTACTAACCCTGGAAAATACCCTAAATACTATAAAGTTCTAATTTGACAGGTATCAGTAGGCTCTTCTTATAAACAAGATCATTTTTATCACAAAACATCTCTGCTCCGTTGTGGAATAATCTTTTTGTACAGTGTGAAGATGTGCCACTCTGGTGGTTAGATTTCTAGGAACAGAGGATTCTGGGAAGTTGGGTGGGTCTCAAAGAGATTCAGAGGAAGCATGACATGTAGGAGAGGAGGTAACAAAGCCATGAGCCAGGTGGCAGCACGTAAATTAGTAGAAATGGGTTAATTTAAGTTATAAGAGCTAGTTAGAAACAAGCCTAAGCTATGGGTTAATAATAATAAGTCTCAGTGTGGTTATTTGGGAGCTGGCTGACAGGACAGAGAAAAACTCACTACAAATGGCAACCAATGTGGGACATGTATTTCCACATAAGACCTGAGAAAGCTTTAAAAAGGTTCCCAACACATAAAAACAGAGCCAAATTGACTTCCTCGTCCTTGGCCACCGTCTTCTGGCTTGAGTCTCCAGCACACCATGAGCTAAGCTGCATGGTGGTTTAAGATTTTGCTCATACAGACAGAAAAGGTTGCAGATATATAGTAAAGCAGGTTCTGAATGAGAAAAGCACTAAAGAGGCAATAGTGTGTTTAACAATGTGCACAGGCTTAAGGAAAAGAAAAAGAGCATATATAGTCATAAAAATAATTTAAAAATAATATAGTAAAGTCTTTAAAGAGAGAAGTAATTTATAAAAAAAAAGAATAAGCCAAGTAAGGGAATTTGGACTTTGTATGGTGCTTTGTTAATTTTGAATTATTTGAATGCTCATAACAGACAACAGCTGCTGAGAGACATGGTATTGTGAAAGGGATTGATGAATTAAATCAGCCTATGTACTGTAGGGTAATCTTGGCTTCAGAAACGAAATTTCAGAATGGAAAGTATCTTGCCTTGGAGGAGAGGTTAAGCTTTTGTTTCAACAGGAAATGAAACACTGTGGATTCCTTCCAGATTAATAAAGATCAGATTTGACCAGGCGAGACCCTCTGAGTATCTTGGCTACCTACATGGGGTAGAAATCAAGAAAGACTACAGTACAGTGATGGCTGTTCCCTCTGCGTGGGAATGGCTCGGAGACGATATGAGACATGATAAATCTTGTTGGCTACAAAGTCACCATGACTTATTATTACATGTCATCCTTTCATATGGCATGGATAGAGATTTATATTACAGTTTGGTTATGTAGTCCAAATGGACTTATAAAGTTGAGAGATGCTTTTTACCTGCTCAAACTTAGAACAAAAAATCTTCTATTACTTTGCACATTGCACATCCCATACTTGTGTTAATGCAAATATGTATGTTACCTTTAAAAGTTTGTATGTTTTCAGAGCAAGGAGACCAGACACCAACGAAAACAGGTAGCCCAGGTGATTCAGGTTCTTAGTGTGCCTATGTTGCAGTTTCCTGAGAATTCTGCATCCAGAACAGCATAAACTTCAAGATTATTCACTGAGATGGTCCAGTCTCACAGACTACTTCAGCCAAAACTGCAGATAAACCCTAAATTTCCTCATCACACTGAGACTGGACAACAGTTAGCTCCCCCAGGACTTGAACATTATCTTAATTTTGTCAGGGTCCCCTAAAGATGCTATCAACCTCAGACAATAGGAAGTAATATTAACACCATGACACCCACATTGCCAAAAATCAGGGTGGGTGGTTTTTGGTCATTCCATGGATATTTGTCATCATGTGGGGGGTGGTGGTCACATGTTGTCATTGGTCATGGTCAGGGATGATACTAAAAAAATGAAATTAGATCCAGGGATCTCATTCTGAAAATAAAATGTGGGAAATAGAAACGATAGGATAAAGGGTATATTATTATATCTACTTTCAAACTAAAAAGAACAACCAATAGTCTCAAATACTTTATATTAATATAGATATTTTTGTATATTGATATAAATTGAAGGTTATTTTGTTATACTGTATTACATGTTTCTGTCTCTTGTTTAAGGTAATGTACCTTTGTAACTCATTTAAAAATGTAAAGTCTAGTCCTTGAAATCTACTTAAGATAATAAAGAAATACAGGAAAGTAGTAAGTCATCTATAACAACTAAACTTATAGTCATGTTAGGTATGTTTTCAAGGTCAATCAGAGACATATTTTAAATAGGTAGTCTTCAAACATTTCAGAGACCTACAGAATATGGCATTTTAATGTTTTAATAACATATGGCTTTTCGTGACAGTGAGACTCATCCGCTTCTGGCAACAATTATCTACTTCATAAACTAATGTTGGGCATTGAAGATGCTTCCTTTGTGGCAAAAGCTAGCTATTTGAGCAAGAAACCGTCCTTGCCTTGACTGCTGACAGTATGCTGTTCAAACTAGAGAAGCAGGTCATAAAAGAAAGCAACTACTACACTTTTCCAAGACAGAGTATGACAGTCCTTCAAAAATTCCTACTTCATAGAAAAAGTCTGTCAGATATTCTAGGCCTGTAGGCCAGAGACGGATGGCCCAACATAGAGAAACTTTGAGTCATTTTTCTTAGCTTTGAAAGTTGCTTTCTGCACTTCCTGTTTCTCAAGTAATATTGTATCCTTCTTGAGTCTCTGATAGAGATTGGAGACTAGAGACTTATAGTTTTAGTTTTCCTTGTTATTAAATTAAGAAAAAAAAACTAACCAACACATGTAAAGTTTATAAGGTTGAGAAACATAAATGCTTAAATTGTTTGTCTAAAAAGATGTTTTAAGGTTTAAAAAGTTATGCCAAAAAACGGTTTAGGCATAAAACTTTGGACTAAGATAGAATAAATAATACAATATTTTCTCCGTATTTGCCAAATGAAAATGGACTAGACATTGTGAATGTAATTCTTACCTGATAATTGTTGTTACAGTGTTATTGTGTTAGAGTTAAAACCTTTCCTTTTTTTTATACCCAAAGGGGAAAATGTTGTGGGATAATCTTTTTATACATTGTGAAGATGTGTCACTATGGTTGATTTAATAAAGAGCTGAATGTCCAATAGCTAGGCAGGTTTTCCAGCCACAGAGGATGATGAGAACAAAAAGAAGGGGAGAAGTTGTGAGGAGACATGGAGAAAGCATAACATGTAGGAGATAAAGTGACAAGCCATGAGCCACAAGGCAGCATGTAAATTAATAGAAATAGGTTAATTTAGGTTACAAGAGCTAATTAGAAAGAAAACTAAACTGTGGGATGAGCTTTTATAATGAATAAGAAGCCTCTTTATGGTTATTTGGTAACTGCCTGGTGGGACAGAGACTCACTACACACTGGTGTCTCAAAAGTCAACTTATATTCAACATGCCCTGAATTGAACTATTCAGCCATATCTATGTATCTATCTATCTATCTATCTATCTATCTATCTATCTATCTATCTATCTATCTGCCTAATGTGAGAATGTAACTTGATTCCCGTTACCTATTTGGTTTATAACACTCCTTTCATCCACTTTCCCAAGTAAAAAATATGAAAATTATCTTGGACTTTGACTATTTACCAAAAAAATATATTAGCTATTGAAAATTATCACCTGGATCGACTAATATCAACCCTTCACTGCCCCAACTTTAGGTGACATTCCCTAGCCACTTCAATACCACCTGCTTGGTAAATTTTGCCTCATTCAAACAGGGGTGAGTCCCTGTCTCACTTTACAAGGCACTGTCACTTTAATGATTCTTTAGGTGATTAGTTATAGAATATATATTCTATATGAATAAATCACAATACTGTGAAAACCTATTTAACAAGACATCAGGGACTTCTATAAATAGAGGGCCCAAATCAATTCTATATTTTGAGGCCCTGTGCATACTAATAAATGTAAGATAATGCCAAAAAGGGGTATAGATATTGCAATTGTTTTTAAGTTTTAGAATTATCTAATATACTTAACATACAAGTAAAGCTGTAGCAGTTAACATGGAATTTTAAAATCCAGGCTTTCTTGAATGTATAACTCTAGGTCATACAGTCTTCCTGGCCCACCCCAGTGATGAGAGTTGTGTGGGCGTGGACATCTTAGCACATGTACTGGAATTAGTACTGGAATGTAATGAGGAATATAATAAACTGAGAGTCACAAAATGTTTTTAACAAATATAAAATGGTCACAGTGGAGAAAGAAATTGGCCCTTCTTAATTAAATTATAACGCCACTGTTCTTTTAATCTAAACCAATCTGATGGTTCTGATGCTGCTGTTCTTAAAGGATTTGGGAAAATAAAGACATAACAATCATGATATTTGCTTGGCAAAAGGACCAAAGAGTCATTCCGAGCAATTAAAATGGCAAATAGTTTCACTCCACTTTCAAAGTGGAGAGGAAATTTGCTCACATCCTCAAATATACCATTTGTCTTTTCTCTTAGAGAAATCATTATCCATTGATCTATTGGCTGTTTCCTTATCTACAGATACTGGCTGATGTAATTTGTTCCGTATAAAAGCCAAGTCCAGTAGTAGAGTATGGAGAGTTCTAAACCCACAAACAGGCATGTTCTTTGAGGAAAAATGTGGGGCCTCCTTCCTCATTCATCAGGCAGCTAGTAGTAATCATTGGAGAATTCTAGAGTAGAAAGTAAAAAGACCCTTTGTCCTGATCTTCAATGATTCTACCTGAAAGTTCAATGCCTGCCCTCCATATATGGTTAATTCTAAAATTCAGATTCTTCTCCCACCCAAAGAGACCTGTCACTCCAAATAACATCAAAATATTATTCTTTTGGCTGAAAATAAACAAACAATACCAAACAAAAAGCCCCACTCCAAAACTCCTTATATCCCACTGGTTTAGTTTTTGTTGACTACAACACACACACACACACACACACACACACACACACACACACACACACACACTTACTCAGCACCAAAAAGATATATGCATTTAAACTCTTGTACTAAAAAGGCAGTATTATATTGTCAAGCAGTGTTACAAACCACAGACCTGCCCTGTCAATAGAGAGAAGAGAAACTTAGCCAAGAGTAACGGATTTAACTTTTTCTTGGTAGAATCACAAACAACTCATTTCAATATAAAGTGAGTATTATTAAGAGCAAGGATGTAAACTCCAATTTTATCTTGAGCCACAACCAAAAAAAGCACTTGTGTCTTAGTGATTCATATTTCAGGACACATTTGTAACTTCTAATTTACTAAAAGCAAAGCAAAACAAAACAAAACAAACAAACAAAAAAACCCAGCTATTCCTTGCACTTCACTTTGCTATTTGCCTCATTCAAAGAAAATGATTCAGGCATATGGAAATTACTTGCTCCTTCATCATTCCATACAAAACACTTTACCTCCCCAAGGTAAACTGTTTTCAAGGCATTTTCTTAAATTACCCTTACCTTAACCCTCTGCTCAAAGGCAATTCCAAGTCAATAGTCTTCTCTCCAGAAAAGGGAAAAGCAGATGCTGACTGCTCCTGTTCCTAACACCACCTCCTTCTGCTGTTTTGCCAATCAGCCTATTTGCCTATCTTCCAGCATGAAGTCAAGCAGTTAAGTTTCAGATTGGGTCACAGTATATTTAACGTCAAGGGACACACCCTGCCTCCCACCTACCAGGCTGCTAGCCTGAGCCATGTGCTACCTCTCTGTGGGTCACACAACTTCTCTTTCAGGATATCAAGACAGACAGAGAACAAAAAATAATTATAGCAATGACATTTAATTGTCTTCTAGAGGTCCTAAGGAGATAAACCAGTTCCTAATGTGCAGTGCCTCGAGAAAGAGATTGCCACAAGGTTCAGTATTGAGTCATAGACTAACTGAAGCTATAGGAATAAATACAAAAGAACAAAAACTACTGTGAGTCATCGTTATAGCTCAAAGAATTTGGAACACTACTAGCCTAACCACTGCCTGTATTGCACAATAGCATCTCAGGTGCTCAGGGACACAACTCCTGCTGACACCAGAAAGGAGGAAAACTGCAATATTGAAGAGCTGCATTCTTTACTAATAGGTTGGCCACAAATTATTTGAGAATTAAGATCCTGGCACACCTGAAATGGGGACAAGGTTCCATCTGAGGAGGGTATCTAGTGAAGGAGATTATTGTAAAGCAGTGAAGTGAACTAATGATCCAAGGTGAGCAGGGTACAGGGGAAAGGTAGCATCCTGACAGAGGAGAGTGATCTAAGGGGAACTCTTATGTACTGTTGACCAAAATGTAAATTAGTGTGACCAAGATAGAAAGTCACATGGCTATATGATCCAGTAATACTATGATATATTATATATATATATATATATATATATATATATTCAAATGAAATGAAATAAAGTAAAATATAAACAATAAAATGAAGTATAAATAAAAAGAAGACATCCTCACTCTTATATTGAGTAGCTAAGACATGGAGTTAACTAAGTATCCTTCAATATATGAATGGATAAAGATGGGGCTGAAGAGATGGCTCAGCTTTAAAGGGTGCTTGCTGCTCTTTTAGAAGACCCAAGTTCAATTCCCAGAACCCACACAGGTAGCTCTTAATCATGTGTAATTCCAGTTCTAGGGGATCTGATTTTCTCTTCTGGCCTCTATGGGCACTTGCAATTATATGCACAAACTGGCACACATATACAAATCAATGAAAGAAATGGCAAATGAAAAAATGTTTATACACATATACACAGTGAAAAACAATCCAGTCATTTGCAACAACATGGATGAATACACAAGATTTCATGATTTAAGAAATAAGAAAAGTACTGCATGGCCACTTATTGTGGAGTACAACAGAGTTGACCTAATAGCAGTAGAGAGTGGAATGGAGGCTATGCAAGACTTTAGAAGGGAGGGAAGAGGGATGAAGTTGCATAGAAAACTTGTCTGTGGGTGCAAAGTTACTTCTAGGTAAAAAGAATAATTTCTAATCGCCTACTGCATAGAGGGAGAATAAATCTTACAATATCGAATTAAACTTCAAAATAGCAAAAAATGGTTTTGAATATTGTGCTACAAAGAATGATAAAATATGATGTGATAGATATGCAAAAAAACAACTGATTTTACTTTTATGCAAAGTTTACATGGATCAAAATGTTCTTCACAAATATGTACAGCTTTCAATTAAAAAACAAAAATAATGTAGTATTAACAACTTTTTAAGAAGAATGGGAAGAAAGGGCTGGAGAGATGAGTCAGCAAGTAAAGGTGCCTGTTGCTGAGCCTGACTTTGATTCCTGGTATCCGGTTGTCCCAGTGTCTATGAATGCACTGTTGCACACACACGCCCACATAAACAAACACAATAAAATATTTTAAAAGAAACAGGAAGAATGACACAATAAGTTTTAGTAGTCACCTAATCTGATCTTAGGTTCAAACTCTGATGTTTCCACATATTATTGAGTAATTCTGTTTAGATTTCTCAATCTTGATAATTCTTGAGAAAGTAAAGACAATATACTCTTTTCTGAATAGTGTAAATAATGATAAAGTAACACTTCAATATACGTATCTAATTGTAAGATGCTTACACTTGGAAAAGTTTAGTGGAGGTGCAAATAGCTTTACTCAACACCTCAAATGTTCAAGCCTCTGTACTCTAAATATAGTTTCCATATCTTCTCAGCCCCATATTCCCCTCACAATGCTTACATGAATTTGTCCCTTTATTCCTATTTAAAGATGAATTCAATATGTAGTGGGTACCAAGTGCGTTTTTTTTCTGGACAGATAAATACAAGTAAATGAACTTGCCATAACTTTTCAGCCCAGGCTTATAATCTCAGCTATATGGGAGCCTGAAGCAGTAGAGCTGTAAATTTAAGGGCAGAAAATAAAGTAAAGAAACAAACAGGGCAGGTAGGACTGGTGGTCATAGGACAGTAGTAGAGCATATGGCTAGCATCTGCAAGGCTGTAAATTCAATCTCAGTGCAAACAAACAAACAACACCAACAATGAAAACAAAAGAACCCAAACTGTCCTGGTTTGACTTCTATTACTATGATAAACACCATGGCCAAAGGTAACTCAGGGAAGAATCTTATTATTTGGCTTATATGTCTCAATCATGATTATTGAAGGAAACTAAGGCAAGAACTCTAGCACGAACAGAGGCAGGAAAGGAGAAACTACTTTCTTATACAATTCAGGACTGCCTACCAAGGGGTGGTACTTCCCACAGTGGGCTGGGCCCTCCCACATCAGTCATTAATCAGAAAGAAAATTACAAAAAAAAAAAAAATGCCTTGCAGACATGCCCACAGGCCAATCTAATGGAGGCAATTCCTCAACTGAGAATTCCTCTTCCCAGATATGTCTAGGTTTGTGTCAAGTTGACAAAAAACTAACCACCACAAACACAAAAAGAAAAATGTACTCTTTTGCCATGTGGTACATTTCCACCTACTTGGGAAGCTGAAGCCAGAGGATTAAAAGTCCAAAACTGAGTTCATCATCTAGAAGCCAGCTTGGTCAACTTAGTGAGATCCTGTCTCAAAATAAACAAACGAGGGGCTGGGGATATAGAGTACTTGATTAGCTGTATTTGAGACCCTAGATTCAAGGCACAATATGGTAACAAACTAAATAACATGCATAGACACAAGCAAAAAAAATAGTTACATGCAGGAAAAGTATTACCTCATAGAGACAAGTACATAAATGATTCTAAACCATCATGAAGTACAGAGAAAGAAATGACAACAAGGAAGGGACAAGATTCTGACTGTAACTAACCTGCAAGCCAGTCGCCCCTAGCATCTCAGTACATGTCTCACTTCCTCTCTTGCCGTTCAACACATGCTTTGTTCCCAGCTGCCAACACTTGGGAACCACCTTGACGATAAGAAAACCAGTGTGTGCCAACAATGGGAGGTTATTCAGCAATAAGAAGAAATAAGCTTCCATCAGAGGATAGCTTTGTTTGCCAGTCAGTCCTTGGTGTTTGAGCCTTTGTACATTAAAGTACAAAGTTACTGTTACTCAGGACATAATGCATGGCCTAAAGAAGAGACTAAATGAAACTGAAAAATTAGTATATTTGTAGCATCATCATCCTACTAGAAGGTCCTTCCCTCGGTCTCTACCACTTCCTCCATGAAGTCTTCCTTTTTTCTTCCTCCCTCCCTTCCAAAACTGGGACTTGGTCTATGATTGCAGGTAGAGGAGACAAGGGCAAAAGAACTGGGACTCGGGAGTTTGGGGTAGGGAGATGGTCTATGAGTGTCTAGGGATTGTTTACACCTCCTATCTATCTGTTGGATTGCTAAGATTATATGTGCCTTCTACAACACACTTCTTTATGTGGATTCTGGAGATTCAAACTCAGGATCTCATACTTGCTTGGCAAGTGCTTTACCCATGGATCTGTCTCCCCAGACAAGATCCTGCCTCAGCAAAACAACAACAAAGAAGGCTCATGGGATGGTCCCAAATATTTCAGTTTTTAAAATGCAGTCATGAAATCCAAAAGAGTAATTTTATTGGTCCAGCTGTATACATCTGTAGGCGGGATCCCTGCAAGTTTGGCATCTACCATTCAGTCTTAAAAGCCTGACCTGTGATGGCAGTCTCTACCATTCAAGGTTCTATTTTCTGTAGTTTAAGATATTGACAGTGAGCCATGTTCTGAAAAGACCATATAGAAATTTCCAGAAGTCAACAATTCATAAATTTAAGTGATTTATTGCATTATATAGCCATAACTATTTTATGAATCATTACACTCTTAGTATGCCTGCTTTATAGATTAAACTTAAAAAGAAAGAAAAAATGAAGGCATGGACATAAATACATGTATTTAAGTGAAAGCTACCAGTGTGAAAGAGTATAGATTGTATGACCTACTAATATGATTACTTGGAAAAGACAAGGTGTTGTAAAGAGGTCAGAGGTTGCAATGTTCTCAGGAGGAAGGGATGAATAAATAGATATAACACCAATGTTTAATAAATATTATTATAACATACCGTAATTATGGATAGGTGACCTTCCATATCTGTCAAAGGTCAAAGAACTTAAAGACAAAAAAGAGCACTACTGTAACTTATGGATATGATTAATAATATGTGATTATCAGTTGGTTTATCATAGCAAATACATCACATCACAGCAAGATGTTAGTTACTAGGAAGCTGTGCAGAGTGTAATTTCTGCACAACTTTCTACAAATTTACACCTGTACCAAAAATAGTCTATTAATTAGAAAATATAGTGAAAAGCACAAAATAGTAGGGCAGATATTTGCTTCAGCTACAGAACTCACACTGTATACTTTTTAAAGGTTTCTTTCTTTTAAATAAAAGAAATAAAAAAATATTAAGTGCCACTTGACAAGGTCTCACCACACTCTAGTCATTTTCACTCTCCCTGAAGTCAACCACCACTGTCTGTGTTTCTGTTCTGATGTATTTATTTGTTATTTTATCACAACACTGTCTGGGTTGCTGTGGTGCTTTTCTTTCCTGCTTGATTCCCCTCCCCCCACCCTAGTACTGTGAATTAAACCCGGAGACTTTGTAATTGCTAAGCAAGCATGCTGACACTCAACTCTATCCTCATCCCTTACATTATCATTTTGAAGTCAGAGGTTTATATCTCTATTTCTGTTCTCCTTTGATACTGACTTTGCTGTTGAGGGTCATTTGCCTTTGTGTGTAAACCTCAGAAGCAGCATGTCAGCTCCAAACAGTAATTTCCTCAGTATGATTGGTATTGCAGTGATTCTAAAGACCAAGTTGGGAAGAACTGACATTTAAA